GTACATTTAATACATCACCAATGGGGCTTGAACAATAGACAGATATTTGCTTCTTATTTGGGGGGTAATAAAGAATGGAGTTAAATCCTCCCCAACAAGGTCCTCTCAAAGTACACAAGTATGTGTGTCACTCACTCGTCTAATCAGGTCTTTACACAGACTTCCAGTAATTGACTTCGAAACTCTTCTGTTGGTTCACAAAGCCCTGAATGGTTCGGGGTCAAAGTGCAGTTCTGATCTGTTGATACCTTATGAAACGCCACTGACCTTTAGGTCGCCTGGGACGGGTCTACATTCTCTTCAGAGTCAAAACTAAACATGGAAAAGCAGCTTTTAAGTCCAGACTTTCCTGTTTCCTGCGGCCTTTAAGTGACCATTTGTGCATGCAAATTTTATTCTATTTTCAGTTTTTAATCTCTTTTTCACTCTCTTTATTGGGGATCAGGTTAATTGGGGACTTTAAATTGCCCGTAGATGTGTGAATGTGAGTGTGAATGGTTGTGTGTCTCCCTGCGATTGGCTGGCGACCAATCCAGGATGTACCCTGTCTATCGCCCAAAGTTGGCTGGGATGGACTCCAGCCCCCCGCGACCCTGTGTGCAGGATAAGCGGTTTGACAATGGATGGATGGAATCTCTTTTTCATCGTTTTAATGACAGTTTTTTTCTCTTTCAATCAATGTTCTTTACTGTTTTTAAATCTTCCTGCCTTATGTTTGGATGTTTGTAATGGTTTTACGTGAAACATTTTTTGCCCTGTTATTGAAATATGAAATACAGATAGAATTGCCTCACAATGGATTTGATTCAATAGGCCCAGAGAGACAAGTCATTGTGAGAGATTTCACAGCATCACACCACATCAAACAGTGTATGGCACAGTTCGCCACACTGCCTATGTGTGAGAGACAAAGACAGCTTGCAGTCACAGCCGCGAGATGAACCTCCTCGGCTGGTTTGCCATGTCGCTCTGTCTTTGCGTCAATGCAGGTACACAACCATTCACGCCCGCTTCTAGAAATACTGCCCGCATTTTTTTTAAAACCCTCTAATCAGATCCTTTCACCCCTTTTTGTAACAGAGACCAACGCAGTGTGGCGAGATTCTGGCGATAACGTCACCTTGGGATGTTCCAGCTGCGACAAAGGGTATGACGGGATGTATCTTTATCTGTATCGGGAACACAAGCCGCGGATACAGGTGGTGTACTATCCAGAGTCAGGTGACAAAACAACCCCGGGAGATGCCTTCATAGAGAGGATTCAAACGAAAGGATCTCTGAGCAAACACACAGTCACCATCAGCACGCTGAGCGTGAACGACTCTGGATTCTACAAGTGTGTCTATGTCACCTTTCCAAGTGGTGAAACATCATGCAGCCACTACACACTCTTTGTAAGCGGTAAGTGTCTTTCCTTCATCTTCTTAACAAACTACAAGTCTGCAGACCGAGTGAGGAGAGTGACCTGAATAGAGCGTAGTACAAACCTAAAGTATCTTTTTTTTCAGTTATTTTATTCAATGTAATCATAATGCCACTTTCTGTAAGGAAAAAATACACTTTTTATTCCACTAAGTTTGATGAGACTGAGATGAGATTTGGGGAAAAGATTTTTTGTATGATAAGTTCAAAGACATAATTGTTTTGTCTTTGAATCCTTTGCAAACAGGAGTTGCGCCGTGTCCTTGCCCCCTTGGCTACGACAAAAGTCCATGTCGGGTGTTTATCATCATCGCCGCCTTCACCGCTTGCATGCTGGTAACCATCCCCTTCATCCTGCTGGTTGTCTCCAGGGTGAGTTCAGGTCCCTCACATTCATCTGTTAGCGGGGGTGGGGTGAAACGTTTAAATTCAGGGGATCTGTAAACTGTCATTTTATAATGAAACATTTCTCTGCACCTATGGCTTTTTATTTCTCTTCTTAGCATATATTATTTTCTATTTGGAGAAATCCAACCTTGTGTTTTATCCCTTTCACCTGCAGTAAGAACTTCCATCATTGTATTTACTTTACCACTATGGAAATAGTTTCCGCTTCCTGAAAACATAGCCTTAAGAAGGCCTGTAATGTCCTGCCATCTGTAAACACCTTAACACTATCCAACAATCTCTATTGTGATATTTGACCACCAACAGGTGAGGCGATGGAGTAGCAGCAGGAGAGTCCCGGGGCCGTTATCCAATGACAACATGTATCAAGTCATGAGTCCTGCGCGAGAGGAGCTGCCGCCCGGCCCGTGTGCTTCTGCTTAGCAGCGCTTAGCTCGGCCTACAGGTGGTTTTCTTCTTCAGGCTGATGTACCTTTTTGAGACAAAATTAGAAATCCATGTTATACAGCTGACCAATGTGTTTCAGTGTTTGTTTTCTTCAATAGAATTGTGATTAACTGCTTTAAAAGGTTCTGCAAGGTTTCGTAGCTCTGTAGGGCGAGCGCTAACAGTATGTGATGAGCAGGTAAGGGACACAAAAGGAAGTGTGATTAATATCTAGAGCATGCGTTACTCTTGAAAAACAGAGTAGAGGCTGATATACATCAAAAGTTGCGTGCGAAACGTCTGCACGTGAGGGCGCAAACCACATACTGAGGAGTGGGGGGATGTTTCTGGGGTTGTTTTGCAAGTCGACAGCGTTCAGTTTAGAAATGAGTACCTATCTAATGCAATCCTAAAATTGATAATATGATTATTGAGACAAATATGACATATGTTTGTTATAATAATGTGCTTCCTGATGGGAAAGGTAGTGATGATGCAAATGGTTATTGTAAATCTGTATCTCAGGTAATGAATATGATTTTCATAAATTTTGATAATTGTTGTTTCTTGTGGTTGCCTTGATCTCGCTGTATGACATTTCTTATTTACTAAGACACATACAGTTGTGGTCAAAAGTTGACATACACTTGTAAAGAACATAATGTCATGGCTCTCTTCAGTTTTCCTCTGGTAGAAGTATCTGTTCCAATCACTCTTTGTCACAAAAAACAAACATTCATGAAGTTTGGTTCTTTTATGACTTTATTATGGGTTAACAGAAAAGGTTATCAAATCTGCTGGGTCAAAAATATACATACAGCAGTGTTAATATTTGGTTATATGTCCCTTGGCCATTTTCACTTTAGGCGCTTTTGGTAGCCATCCACAAGCTTGCAAGCTTCTCGTTGAATCTTTGACCGCTCCTCTTGACAGAATTGGTGCAGTTCAGTTAAATTTGATGGCTTTCTGACATGGACTTGTTTCTTCAGCTTTGTGCACATCCACATGTTCGCAATGAAATTTAAGTCAGGACTTTGGGAAGGCCATTCTAAAACCCTAATTCTTGGGGTTAAAGGCCTCACCTTTTCTCCTCCAAACATTGCTGGGCATTGTGGCTGAACTGATTTTTGTTTCGTCTGACCACAGAACTTTCCTCAAAGGTCTCATCTTTGTCCATGTGATCAGCACCAAACCTCGAGCCTTAAGGTGCCGCTTTTCTATATTAATTCTCAATTCTTGCACAGCAGCCTCCCAGTCCATTTAGTTATTTTTTCTGTTAACAAATAATAAAGTCATAAAAGAACCAAACTTCATCAATGTTTTTTGTGACAAAGAAGTTTCGATCACTCTATCAGAGAAAAATCAGAGTTGTGGAAATAACTGGAAACTCAAGAGAGCCACGACATTACATATAAGTGTATGTAAACTTTTGACCACAAGGGCAGGAAGTGCGTGTCAAACAAAACCACAGGTACACAGAAACAAGTTCTGGCAAGGACTGTCAGGAGATGGGGTGGCAGACCAAAATGCAAAACACAGACCACTGGTGAGGAAGAGCAGGGTTTTAATAGCCCAAATACACCGAGGGTGAAGATGTATTGAGCGGTGTGGGAGCCGAGGACAAGGGTGGGGGAGTGGGGGGGCAATGTAGGATCGGACTAGTTGGAGAACATGGGCGAGCCCTTCAAAGTGACCGGAGGAAACTGAATTTAAACATCCAACACACGTGAAGATATCCAAAGAAATTATTCTCAAAAAATTCAACAAAAAGTGTGTTCTCGATAAAATTCTTCCCTCCATCCTACAAATAAATGGACCGTTGGACAGAATGTTGTTCAACTTAGAAATAAGATTAGATAAGAACAAGATTAGAAATAAAGCAAGCTGTAAATTGAAAAAAAAAAGTGTGTAACAAAAAAGACTCTAGAGGAAGTTTCTAAGGGGTTGAAAAATAACCACTACCACATCCGCACGCCAATAACAACAAACCAATCCTAAATATCAGCATCAGTGTGTGGTTTGTTGGATTAGATCAGATCAGTGTTATTGCTGTACCTCAACATGTGTGGTTGTTTTATTTTTCTGTCGGGCCTCACATTGAAATCTATTGAAGTAGCGCCAGTTCCACTTTTAACCGGCAGAGAGCAGCAGAGGGCGGTCGTTTTACTGCAACGTTCAAGAAACAATCGGTCACTGATCATTTCATTGGATTCAATCAGTAGTGGGGAAGGAGGTGTGTGTGGGGGGCGGGGGGCACGAAGCGCTTGCGCTTGCGTGGGGAATGTGTCAAGAGGGACATGTGTCAAATGGATGTAATTGGGAGAGAATCCGCTCATTTTTCAAAATATAACATATAAAATGAATTCATCAAAAATAAAAGTCACCGCGTTACGGTGTTTGGGACCAGCACTCTCCAGTGAAGGTGGGGTAATTTCCAAACGTCGTTCGGTGGTCCTCTACCACATCAATTAATTTACCAAAGTCACTTGCACACACATTATCACAGGTTTAACAGAGACACGCATTCGATGTCTGTCTATCCATGGATGTTACACGTAAAGAAGGCTGGAGATCTGTATGCTAAATATTTGTCTAAAGTCCATTCTTGTTTCAAGGCAATGTCTGAATAGAAGTTATTAATAGTCATTGTTTACATCGACTGTGGAGCCCAACCCTGGAGAGAATCTGTGCAATCTCCCGTCGGCATCCGTGCGTAAAAGCGCGTCAGTGCCCCCCCCCCCTCTCTTATATTTCACCATGGTCGTGCGGTCTCGCGACTCCCAACTAAAGTGCACATCATCGAGCAGAGCGGATCACACGGCATTCCTGCATCTGCCCTGCCCGCAGTCACACAGTGTCATCAACAAATACAAGTGCGGGGGAAAAACCGACACCAACAAAGTCAACTCCGACCGGCCGACTCCACGGAACCGCGCGAGCGAGTAGAACGGCTGCAGGACCAAAGCGTTGATCGCATGATCCTCCTGGCGGAGATAATAATAATAAAAACAACAGGCTTGGAGGAGCTGGTTGTCCGTCGCCGATGATTTTGTTAGGGATTTAAGCCAGAAGTGCACCCCTAGTCAGGGAATTATAGTACGTGTAATAATGTTTAGTGTTAGAATTGTAGTTTGTGTGATGTTAGATATTAGTTATTACATTAACATGTTAGATGAAGTGAATGCAATTTCAATCAAACACAATTCATAGTCATTTAAATCATATAAACACTGTACACATTAACATTCTGTCACAATGTGATGTTAAAACCTGGGGACGGATGCCAATTGCCGTTCTTTATGGATTTCTCCCAATTTTATCCCCAAAAAGGGTTTTTTGGGAGTTTTTTCTCCTGTCAGGTAATAAAATGAACAACTTCATGTAAGGCAGCCGACTGAGGCAAATGTCTTGAGAATTGAACCACATGAACTGTTTTAGATCTTATGACGAAGTGTGATGAACGGTGATCATTAATGATGGGTTGTTGTAATGAAAGTGTACACAGTAAATTTGCCAGTGTCAAAAAGGCAGTGTCAAACTATTTTAATTCTTCCGGAGTTCTTCCAACAATGGACAGAGTAAAATTGAACCAGAAAACTTCCAGTGTTGGTGAAAATAATCGGAGTTAACAGAGGTTTTACTCTGTCAGTGTTATTGACTCTCTCAGGCCCTGATTCAACACTGATTAGAGCAAGATGCCTTCCAGAGTATCACAAAAAATACTCTGGAGAGCCCCGCCCACCAACTTTCCCGGTCAAACTGAGAATGTGGATTCTGGCATCGCCATCTTCCTCGCATCGAAATACTGTGGTAAGTCTTTCTACTATAAACTATTCCCGTTGTTTTTCTTCATTCCAGTAGAATCTGTATAAGAATAAAGGGACGTATTCATTCACCACACTAGTCAATGTTGGGTACGTGTCTTCAAATACCGAATTTCAAATGGCTAACGTGATATCGGGTCGGCGGTTAGCTTAAATGTAGCAGCCACATGTCTGACCACCAACACCAAACTGAACAAAAACGACACGAGGTAACGTTAATGTCAGCGAGGACGAGCTGTCCTGGTGTGCAAGCATGACACATAACACATTTATTTCAGTAAAATGAAGAAAAAAAATCGTTTAAGCAGTCATATTTATTATTTCTATTTGAGCCGGAGCAAATCGCTTTAGCGTCACAATTTGGTCGAGCATAGCGGGACATGTCGCGGACATGCGGACGTGCCGCGGCTCCGAGAGGCTCGGTTCCCGTTAGCTGCTGCTGTAGCCATAGACATATAAAGAGTAGACGCTGCATTGGCTGCTGAGGCGCAAACAAATATTTTTTATTATATTATATACCAGAATATTATTACTGTTACACCTACTATGAATATTAAAATACGCCGAATCATGTTTTCGGTGTCATGCCTACAAAATCCCGTGAACATCCGCTTTTGTATTCAGCGAGTGACGCGCTGACACTTCGTTGCGCCAGCTGGCACTGAGTGGAGCGGGTGACCGGTCCAAGTTGGCGGCCCCGCGGCTCGTCAGCACCACTAGGCAGCAGCGGTCGATGTCTATTCTTTATGTCTATGGCTGTAGCTGCTGTAAGCTTAATTTATGCTTCCACGTTACGGCGGCGGCGGGTGTGGCTGTGTGTTTCTGCGGGTGCCGAATCCTTGGTGAGCCGAAGCTCATATTGAAGCGCAGGCTACGTAGAAGACGTGAATTTACAACACTGGTTCACCCACTGAGGGACCTGGACGAGCAAATGCACTTTCGATACTTTCAAATGTCAGCAACTGCCGCAAATTACGTTCTGAGCGGACCAATCACAGCACTTGCGATCCACGTCAACTCGACTCGCAGTTAGATTTTTTCGGAGGTGCACGTCAGGCTACGGCGGAGGGGTCTACGTAGTTACGTAGTTACTTAATATGTATATTTTCCTTTTTTCTTTCAGATTGTTCTTTAATGTACTGTGGTGCTCTGGTGGTAAGTAATAAGTTTATGTACTTGACCGAAAATGTAGTTGTGTTTGTGATTTTTAAAGCTGAAATAGGGTATTTTCAGGTTGTCAGCTTGTATGGGGTTGTAGATCATAATGTTGATTTCAGTTTGCTGTCTTTGCAGATACCATCATGTTGATCAAAACAGTCCTGTCATCCAGCACCAACCAAGATCTTTGCCACTGTGATAAGATGTGAGCTTTACATGTTTTAGGTTTACTTTTGATGCCAATATTTCATGTTTACTTGGAATAAATATGTATTACAGTATGGATACAATTGTCTGTGTGTTTTTCCCCCTGCATAGATATGCAACACTGGTAGGAGTTGGTTAAAAATCAACACTCTTTGGAGTGATTTCATAATCAACATAGTGTAAAGTAGGTTTAACACTGGAAAGGTTATTTCTTTTATAACTCTTTAGTGTTACATGTGAATAACACTATGGGTGTTACTTCTTACATAGTGTAAAACTTGATTGACACTTCTTAGAGTTAATATTATTACACTACACTGCACCTAGTGTAAAATTTTAACTCTTACCAGAGTAAAATTGACTCTGGAAATTTAACTCTGTGTTCAGTGTACATTTAACACTCTGTAGATAGGGACCATATGTTCACTGAGGTAGTGTTAAAATTGACTCTTTAAGTGTTGTATTAACACTGGCGATTTTACTGTGTACTAGTTATAAGATGAAGACTTAAACAATGTATGCTTTGTTAAATTCACTCATTGAGGCATAAAGCCACTTTATCTGCATTGAGTGCATTGGAGTGTGAGGGACAGCTAGGACAGAGAGGTTTCAGGTTACAGCTGCAGCTTCACACCTCGACGTGGAAGGGACAATGGAGGAGGTGACCCTTTGGAGAAGAGGCCAATGATATTCAAATGCACCAAGGAAGACACACCTCAAGAGGTTTCAAAGGGCCATGGCGGGGAAAAGACTGTTAGAACTTCTCCTGCAGCCGCGTTGATAAGTCACTTCAGACTTGCTCAGAGGATTCTCTATTTCGCGAAATATCCCACTGTTCGCTTAGTATTTCACTTTGTAATTGTAATCCCTATTACGTTGTTCAGTTATTAAATAACTTTTGATTTTTGAATTTAAACGAATTGACTCATTCGTGTCCTCGTTTCCGGCCGGGACGAGAACAAAGGATTGAGTCCTCCCTCGAGAGCTTCCGAAACCTTAACAATTTCCACCCCGAGGTCCTCGTGTACTTTCATTACTATTGACTGACAGTCTGATCTTCCTCCAGGCAAAGGCAAACCATAAGACCGGGCAGCCACACTCGCTGTAAGCTCTTGGTAGCTCCGGCCGCGTGTCCACGCGAGCATCTTGACCTCAAGGTGTCAAATCATCTGTCGGGCTGCAGCATTTCATGGTTGAACTGAGAAGGAACCCAATTAGCCGTAGCAAAGGGCTTTTTCCTAACCAAGATGCTTTAAAATAGGTTATGCATCACAACCTCAATCTCTAGTTTTCCCAAACCGACCAAAGACTGTTACCCGTTATGAAGAAAAACACTAGTTTCACTAGTAAACGGATCTCAAGCGGATTCTGGCCGCTCAACCAACCAAACTAATCCTGTATCAGACGAGGGGAGAGGACTTTGAAAAGAGTCCCAGACTGCGCACAGTTTGAGGGACCCAAGTGCCGGTAGTCGACATCGGAGACGATCATCTTTGCCACCACAACATTCGACGCACAAACATCTTGATTATCAGATGAGCTAGAACACAATGTGCCTCTATGTGAAAGAGCACAGACAAAAATAACTCTTCATCTAAATGTTTTAATCCCACTTAAATTTACCTCACTGCCATCCAGTGGACAACTAGCATTCAAACATGTTGGAGCAGAGCGGCAGAGGAGAACATCATTAAATTTGTGGTACTGAACCAACCTCACCTGTTGACACAAGTAATCAAAGGTGCCCTTGAATTGGTATTGATCCGCTTAAAGTAATACAGTCTAATTCAAAAGAGGTGCAATTAAACCACACCTCCATGAAGGTCATTGTTTTCAACTTTCGTTGAGATCTATTTAAGTCGCCGTCAATGGAGGTGCAGAACAGTGTCATAAATCTGCGCATGACTGTAGACTTTCAAGTTTATTGTTTGAAAAGATAAGACATTCCTTTATTACTCCCACAATGGGGAAATCCACGGAATCCCGAGAGCTAAGTAAACAGTGCACACAAGACACATGATGAATAACAACACGACAAGAGCCACAGTAATAAATAAGTAAAAAATATAGTAATAATAGACAGAAGTAAAAATAAAAAAACAAAAACTACAGTAACTAAATATAACACTAGGAACTAAATAAATATGTATATGTACACACCTCACAGTGGTTATTACGCCTTGTCATTTTTATTGCACATTTGTTTTAGTGTTGTTCTGTGGTGTTTTCAGTGATCTAACGTCCTGTGGTTCACTGGGTGCACAGTCGGTTGTGCAGCCTGACAGCAGCGGGAGGGAAGGACCTGCGGTACCTCTCCTTCAACCACCGGGGGGGGAATCAGGCCCTGAAGGAGCAGAGCTTCCAGGGCGTCCACCATGGGGTGGGAGGTGTTGCTCATCAGGGATGATGGCTTAGTCTTCATTCTCCTGTCTCCCAGCACCTCCACCGTGTCCAGTGGATGCCCCAGCACACTGCTGGCCTTCTTCATGAGCTTGTTGAGTCTCTTCCCGTTGGGCGCCAATATGCTACTGCCCCAGCAGACCATTCCATAAAATGAAAGATGCCACGGCGGAGTCAAAGAAGGTCCTTCCTTCCAGTGCACCCTGCACCCCAAAGGACCTCGGTCTCCTCAGCAGATAGTCTGCTCTGACCCTTTTTATAGAGCGCACAAATGTGATCTGTCCAGTTTATTGTTCAAGTGAACAACCAGGTTCTTATAAGATCTCACGATCTCGATGTCCGTATCCTGGATGTTCACTGCTGCCGGAGGACAGCGTTTACCCCGACGGAAGTCCTCCTCCAGCTCCTTGGTTTAGAGTTCTGCTGGCACCATCCTAAGAAGATGTTTGTGTTTTTTTTGTTGAAGGCCGCAGCTGAACATTTGTGGGAATTCAGAGCAGATTCGGCGGCAATGTTTGAGTAATAGATTAGTTGTCTGGACTAATTTTGAATGCAAGAGCGTTCCATCAGAGGCTACAGAACATAGAGGAGGATTTTGAAAATAATGTTATTGTTATGAAATGTTGAGCTGTTTTTTTGTCCACTGCCTTCTTGTTAAATTGCTGTTTTTTAAATGGTTTTTCACAGCTTTGTTCCGTTTTGCAAACACCCAAACCCTCCACCAGGGGGTGATCTCAACTCATCCCTAATGGAAGTAGAGTGGACCAGTGTTAGGTTTACAACTTCAGGGGGGTAGTAGTCGGGCAAACGGTTCGGGGGGGGGGGGGGGGGGGGGCTTTTATTTACCATTATATTATAACCCAAAGAATCCTCTGGTTGTCATCACATCCCTCTTCTTGATCTCTTCTCCAATGAGTTAACGGTTCCATATTCTATATTAATTCTCAATTATTGGCCATCCACCTTGTGACTGTGGTTCTTTGTGTCGTCTCTTCGTTATAGACCTGGTCTCATGACTCCGGTCACATTCCTAAGTTTAGGTGTACAATATGTATAGAATTTAGACTATAACAATATGGGTGTTTCTCCAAAACTGTACATTTTAATACATCACAATGTGCCTGAACAATAGACAGATATTTGCTTCTTATTTGGGGGGTAATAAAGAATGGAGTTAAATCCTCCCAACAAGGTCCTCTCAAAGTACACAAGTATGTGTGTCACTCACTCGTCTAATCAGGTCTTTACACAGGCTTCCAGTAATTGACTTCGAAACCCTTCTGTTGGTTCACAAAGCACTGAATGGTTCGGGGTCAAAGTGCAGTTCTGATCTGTTGATACCTTATGAAACGCCACTGACCTTTAGGTCGCCTGGGACGGGTCTATTTTCTCTTCACAGAGTCAAAACTAAACATGGAAAAGCAGCTTTTAAGTCCAGACTTTCCTGTTTCCTGCGGCCTTTAAGTGACCATTTGTGCATGCAAATTTTATTCTATTTTCAGTTTTTAATCTCTTTTTCACTCTCTTTATTGGGGATCAGGTTAATTGGGGACTTTAAATTGCCCGTAGATGTGTGAATGTGAGTGTGAATGGTTGTATGTCTCTGTGTAGCCCTGCGATTGGCTGGCGACCAATCCAGGATGTACCCTGTCTATCGCCCAAAGTTGGCTGGGATGGACTCCAGCCCCCCGCGAACCTGTGTGCAGGATAAGCGGTTTGACAATGGATGGATGGAATCTCTTTTTCATCGTTTTAATGAGTTTTTTTCTCTTTCAATGTTCTTAACTGTTTTTAAATCTTCCTGCCTTATGTTTGGATGTTTTTAATGGTTTTACGTGAAACATTTTTTGCCCTGTTATTGAAATATGCAATACAGATAGAATTGCCTCACAATGGATTTGATTCAATAGGCCCAGAGAGACAAGTCAATGTGAGAGATTTCACAGCATCACACCACATCAAACAGTGTATGGCACAGTTCGCCGCACTGCCTATGTGTGAGAGACAAAGGCAGCTTGCAGTCACAGCCGCGAGATGAACCTCCTCGGTTGGTTTGCCATGTCGCTCTGTCTTTGCGTCAATGCAGGTACACAACCATTCACGTCCGCTTCTAGAAATACTGCCTGCATTGTTTTTAAAACCCTCTAATCAGATCCTTTCACCTCTTTTTGTAACAGAGACCAACGCAGTGTGGCGAGATTCTGGCGATAACGTCACCTTGGGATGTTCCAGCTGCGACAAAGTGTATGACGGGATGTATCTTTATCTGTATCGGGAACACAAGCCGCGGATACAGGTGGTGTACTATCCAGAGTCCGGTAACGAAACAACCCCGGGAGATGCCTTCATAGAGAGGATTCAAACGAAAGGATCTCTGAGCAAACACACAGTCACCATCAGCACGCTGAGCGTGAACGACTCTGGATTCTACAAGTGTGTCTATGTCACCTTTCCAAGTGGTGAAACATCATGCAGCCACTACACACTCTTTGTAAGCGGTAAGTGTCTTTCCTTCATCTTCTTAACAAACTACAAGTCTGCAGACCGAGTGAGGAGAGTGACCTGAATAGAGCGTAGTACAAACCTAAAGTATCTTTTTTTCAGTTATTTTATTCAATGTAATCCTAATGCCACTTTCTGTAAGGAAAAAATACACTTTTTATTCCACTAAGTTTGATGAGACTGAGATGAGATTTGGGGAAAAGATTTTTTGTATGATAAGTTCAAAGACATAATTGTTTTGTCTTTGAATCCTTTGCAAACAGGAGTTGCGCCGTGTCCTTGCCCCCTTGGCTACGACAAAAGTCCATGTCGGGTGTTTATCATCATCGCCGCCTTCACCGCTTGCATGCTGGTAACCATCCCCTTCATCCTGCTGGTTGTCTCCAGGGTGAGTTCAGGTCCCTCACATTCATCTGTTAGCGGGGGTGGGGTGAAACGTTTAAATTCAGGGGATCTGTAAACTGTCATTTTATAATGAAACATTTCTCTGCACCTATGGCTTTTTATTTCTCTTCTTAGCATATATTATTTTCTATTTGGAGAAATCCAACCTTGTGTTTTATCCCTTTCACCTGCAGTAAGAACTTCCATCATTGTATTTACTTTACCACTATGGAAATAGTTTCAGCTTCCTGAAAACATGGCCTTAAGAAGGCCTGTAATGTCCTGCCATCTGTAAACACCTTAACACTATCAAACAATCTCTATTGTGATATTTGACCACCAACAGGTGAGGCGATGGAGTAGCAGCAGGAGAGTCCCGGGGCCGTTATCCAATGACAACGTGTATGAGGTCATGATTCCTGCACGAGAGGAGCTGCCGCCCGGCCCGTGTGCTTCTGCTTAGCAGCGCTTAGCTCGGCCTACAGGTGGTCTTCTTCTTCAGGCTGATGTACCTTTTTGAGACAAAATTAGAAATCCATGTTATACAGCTGAACAATGTGTTTCAGTGTTTGTTTTCTTCAATAGAATTGTGATTAACTGCTTTAAAAGGTTTTGCAAGGTTTCGTAGCTCTGTAGGGCGAGCGCTAACAGTATGTGATGAGCAGGTAAGGGACACAAAAGGAAGTGTGATTAATATCTAGAGCATGCGTTGCTCTTGAAAAACAGAGTAGAGGCTGATATACATCAAAAGTTGCGTGCGAAACGTCTGCACGTGTGGGCGCAAACCACATACTGAGGAGTGGGGGGATGTTTCAGGGGTTGTTTTGCAAGTCGACAGCCTTCAGTTTAGAAATGAGTACCTATCTAATGCAATCCTAAAATTCATAATATGATTATTGAGACAACTATCAAATCTGTATCTCAGGTAATGAATATGATTTTTTTAATACAGAAGATTTTGATGATTGTTGTTTCTTGTGGTTGCCTTGATCTCGCTGTATGACATTTCTTATTTACTAAGACACATACAGTTGTGGTCAAAAGTTGACATACACTTGTAAAGAACATAATGTCATGGCTCTTTTCAGTTTTCCTCTGGTAGAAGTATCTGTTCCAATCACTCTTTGTCACAAAAAACAAACATTCATGAAGTTTGGTTCTTTTATGACTTTATTATGGGTTAACAGAAAAGGTTATCAAATCTGCTGGGTCAAAAATATACGTACAGCAGTGTTAATATTTGGTTACATGTCCCTTGGCCATTTTCACTTCAATTAGGCGCTTTTGGTAGCCATCCACAAGCTTGCAAGCTTCTCGTTGAATCTTTGACCGCTCCTCTTGACAGAATTGGTGCAGTTCAGTTAAATTTGATGGCTTTCTGACATGGACTTGTTTCTTCAGCATTGTCCACATGTTCGCAATGGAATTTAAGTCAGGACTTTGGGAAGGCCATTCTAAAAGCCTAATTCTAGCCTGATTTATTCATTCTATTACAACTTTTGATGTGTGTTTGGGGTCATTGTCCTGTTGGAACACCCAACTGCGCCCAAGACCCAACCTTCAGGCTGAGGATTTTAGGTTATCTTGAAGAACCCCTAGTGGCGGAAATTATAATACGTGTAATAGTGTTTAGTGTTAGAATTGTAGTTTGTGTGTTATTAGATATTAGTTATTACATTAGCATGTTAGATGACGTGAATGAAATATGAATCAAACACAATGTATAGTCATTTAAATCATATAAACACTGTAAACATTAACATTCTGTCACAATGTGATGTTAAAACCTGGGGACGGATGCTAATTGCCTTTATTGATTTCTCCCAATTTTATCCCCAAAGAGGGTTTTTTGGGAGTTTTTTCTCCTGTCCGGAAGTAGATGAGTGACAGCCGACTGAGGCAAATGTCTTGAGAATTGGACCACATCTGTATTAGATCTTATGATGTAGTGTGATGAACGGTGATCATCAATGAGTGTGTTGTAATTAAGGTGTACCAGTTATAAGATGAAGACTTAAACTATGCATGCTTTGTTATATTCACTCATTGAGGCATAGAGCCAAATGTGTCTACATTGAATGTGTTAGATTCTGAGGGACAGATGGGACAGAGAGGTTTCAAGTTACAGCTGCAGCTTCACACCTCGACGTGAAGGGGACAGTCCAGGAGGAGACACTTTGGAGGAGAAGCCAATAACATTCAAATGCACCCAAGAAGACACACCTCAAGAGTTTGACCAAAACGGGGAAAGGACTGTTAGAATTCTCCTGCAGCCGCTTTGATGAGTCACTTTAGACTTGATCAGAGCATTCTCTAGTTCGCGAAATATTTTACTTACTTATCGTTTTTTATTTCACTTCGTAATTGTATTCCTTTGTTTAGTTGTTGTTTAGTTATTAAATACTTTTTTGATTCTTGAATTTAAGCAAGCTGACTCTTTTGATTCTTCCTTTCTGGCCGGGACGAGAACAAAGGAGTGAGGCCTCCCTCGAGGGCTTTCCGAACCCTTAACAGTAGGCATGGTGTTCTTGGGGTTAAAGGCCTCACCTTTTCTCCTCCAAACATATTGCTGGGCATTGTGGCCAAACAGATTTTTCTTTCGTCTGACCACAGAACTTTCCTCCAGAAGGTCTCATCTTTGTCCATGTGATCAGCACCAAACCTCGAGCCTTAAGGTGCCGCTTTTCTATATTAATTCTCAATTCTCGCACAGCAGCCTCTCAGTCCATGGAGAACACGCTTGACTGTGGACACGGACACCTGTGTTCCAGCATCTTCTAATTATTGGCAGATCTGCTTTTTGGTGGTTCTCAATGGACTCTTCACCCTCCTGACCAATTTTCTCTCAGCAGCAGGTGATTTTCTTCCATGGTGGCAGTGACAAAACAGTGGCATGCACTTTAAACTTACAAACTATTGTTTGCATTGTTGCTCTTGGGACCTGCAGCTGCTTTGAAATGGCTCCAAGTGACTTTCCTGACTTGTTCAAGTCAATGATTCGCTTTTTCAGAGCCATGCTGAGCTCCTTTGACTTTCCCATTGTGGCGTTTGTATCCAATGAGCCCTATTTAAATGGCCTCAGAGTCGTCACTAGCTGTAGTCACTCATAAGCACTCACAAGAAGTTAAGAGGCTATGAAGCTCATTTCATTGACACAACTTTCTAAGTCACCAAAATTGCTTATTCATGTGGCTGTATATATATATATATATATATATATATATATATATATATATATACATTTTTGACCTAGCAGATTTAGTTACTTTTTCTGTTAATGAATAATAAAGTCATAAAAGAACCAAACTTCATGAATGTTTTTTGTGACAAAAAAGTTTCAATCCCTCTATCAGAGAAAAATCTGAGTTGTAGAAATAACTGGAAACTCAAGAGAGCCACGACATTACATATAAGTGTATGTAAACTTTCGACCACAAGGGCAGGAAGTGCGTGTCAAACAAAACCACAGGTACACAGAAACAAGTTCTGGCAGGGACTGTCAGGAGATGGGGTGGCAGACCAAAATGCAAAACACAGACCACTGGTGAGGAAGAGCAGGGTTTTAATAGCCCAAATACACCGAGGGTGAAGATGTATTGAGTGGTGGGGGAGCCGAGGACAAGGATGGGTGGGGGGGCAATGTAGGATCGGACTAGTTGGAGAACATGGGCGAGCCCTTCAAAGTGACCAGAGGAAACTGAATTTAAACATCCAACACACGTAAAGATATCCAAAGAAATTATTCTCAAAAAATTCAAAAAAAAGTGTGTTCTCGATAAAATTCCTCCCTCCATCCTACGAATGAATGGACCGCGGGACAGAATGTTGTTCAACTTAGAAATAATATTAGATAAGAACAAGATGAGAAATAAAGCAAGCTGTAAATTGAAAAAAAAGTGTGTAACACAAAAGACAACTGTAGAGGAAGTTTCTAAGGGGTTGAAAAATAACCACTACCACATCCGCACGCCAATAACAACAAACCAATCCTAAATATCAGCATCAGTGTGTGGTTTGTTGGATTAGATCAGATCAGTGTTATTGCTGTACCTCAACATGTGTGGTTGTTTTATTTTTCTGTCGGGCCTCACATTGAAATCTATTGAAGTAGCGCCAGTTCCACTTTTAACCGGCAGAGAGCAGCAGAGGGCGGTCGTTTTACTGCAACGTTCAAGAAACAATCGGTCACTGATCATTTCATTGGATTCAATCAGTAGTGGGGAAGGAGGTGTGTGTGTGGGGCGGGGGGCACGAAGCGCTTGCGCTTGCGTGGGGAATGTGTCAAGAGGGACATGTGTCATTTGCATGTAATTGGGAGAGAATCCGCCATTTTTCAAAATAAAACATAAAATCAATTCTTTATCAAAAATAAAAGTCACCGCGTTACGGTGTTTGGGACCAGCACTCTGCAGTGAAGGTGGGGTAATTTCCATCGTCGTTCGGTGGTCCTCTACCACATCAATTAATTTACCAAAGTCACTTGCACACACATTATCACAGGTTTAACAGAGACACGCATTCGATGTCTGTCTATCCATGGATGTTACACGTAAAGAAGGCTGGAGATCTGTATGCTAAATATTTGTCTAAAGTCCATTCTTGTTTCAAGGCAATGTCTGAATAGAAGTTATTAATAGTCATTGTTTACATCGACTGTGGAGCCCAACCCTGGAGAGAATCTGTGCAATCTCCCGTCGGCATCCGTGCGTAAAAGCGCGTCAGTGCCCCCCCCCCCTCTCTTATATTTCACCATGGTCGTGCGGTCTCGCGACTCCCAACTAAAGTGCACATCATCGAGCAGAGCGGATCACACGGCATTCCTGCATCTGCCCTGCCCGCAGTCACACAGTGTCATCAACAAATACAAGTGCGGGGGAAAAACCGACACCAACAAAGTCAACTCCGACCGGCCGACTCCACGGAACCGCGCGAGCGAGTAGAACGGCTGCAGGACCAAAGCGTTGACCCAACGACCGAGGGAACTGGACCAGTGACAGAACCAGAGCATGAAGAAGACTGCAAATTCAGGTACAGATGTTTCAAAAAAAAAAGAACAAAGAACTATACACAGTAAAGGTACACTTGATTATTTGAACTAATTTAGTTTGATATTAATTGACTAGTGCATTAAAATGTAAGAGTCTTTCCAAACGGGTTTAAACATTTACATTTTTTAACACGTTTGATATTTCTGCATGTAATAATTGCATACACGCTTGTCTGTCTGTGTAAAGAAAATACTGCTAAATGTTTTATCTAAACTTTATTCCTGTTTCTATTTTTTTTAAAACATCACTTTCTAACTTGGCAAACTGTCACTTAGTCGTTTCCCCCTGTGTGGTTTTATGCCAGTTTGTTTTTTCGGCTGAGTGTGCAGCCCCCCTGGGGGAGCTCCCCGGGGTCCCCCGGCTATTAAAGTCTGATGTGCATCATCATCTGTCCGTTTCAGCCTGACCTTCTGTATGAATGCACTGGCCCCTTCGGGCTGCGCTCTCCGCACGGACTCACAGTCCCTCGTGCTTTAACAAACATTTCTGTCCGTTTGCTCGCTCACGATGTCGTGGTGAACGCCTTCGCCTGTTTGTGAGTGCTTCAGCATTGTGTGTGTGTGTGTGTGTGCCATACAACACATCTCTGGCTTTGCTCAGGCCCCATCTGTGCGTCGTTGTCCCCCTTCAACAGTGTTTGGAAACACTGGATGGGCTCTGGGGAGAGAAATAAAAGTGCCTTTGATTCAACTTTGATTTTATCTTGACTCAGTGTGATGAAAAAGCTTTTTTTAACACCTTACTTCATCATTGTTGGAGCAATTCGTTCATTTAAGTTTTTGAGCATTTTCCTTTTATAGCTCTTAATAGTGTTTTTGTGCAGTCTACATGTCAATAAGTTTAACCAGGTCAAACTTTAAGGTTTTTGAATTTCAGTTGAAGGTAAATTGAGTTATACTCACATTTGATTTTCCATGAACAAAAACAGCAACATATCACAGTATCAACAATGTGCAAAGAATCTATCACAAACGCGGCAGTATTCTGGCGCCGTAAGGAATCGGCGCTTGACCTTTTAGCGAATAGAAATACGAGGCGTACTTAGAGGCCCGAGCCGGGCCTGTTGAAGAAGTCTTATCACTAACTGTCACTTTCTATCTCTGGAGATCCTCATCGCTGCGCCTTCATTGACGCAGCACTGCTGTGCAAACACCGTCAATCTATTTGCTGTTGTCTTTATAAAGTGCTGGAGGCTTCGTAGGTGGTCGGCCTGCCGAGGACGCCAACAACATCGGGCTCGTCCATTTAGATGATAACCGTTTTCAGGTATTGTGTCGATTCTTTTGCCCATTCTTCCCCCGAGAACATTGCAGCAGCAGAATTTTAAACAACTTATCGACTCATCGCATGATCCTCCTGGCGGAGATAATAATAATAATAACAACAGGCTTGGAGGAGCTGGTTGTCCGTCGCCGATGATTTCCACCCCGAGGTCCTCGTGTACTTTGATTACTATTGACTGACAGTCTGATCTTCCTCCAGGCAAAGGCAAACCATAAGACCGGGCAGCCACACTCGCTGTAAGCTCTTGGTAGCTCTGGCCGCGTGTCCACGCGACCATCTTGACCTCAAGGTGTCAAATCATCTGTCGGGCTGCAGCATTTCATGGTTGAACTGAGAAGGAACCCAATTAGCCGTAGCAAAGGGCTTTTTCCTAACCAAGATCCTTTAAAATAGGCCGTCTTTGCTACGTATCTGTAAACTAATGCTAAGCTAAAGTTCCTGGTTGAGAAAGCTGCCACAGAGTGTAACAACAGTGGAGAAGGTATCTAGATGTTTCAAGTTGTGCAGAGGTGTAATTCAGAGCAGCTTTCTCCATAAAGCCTTAGTTCAAGGAAACGGTTCTTGTTAAATTGTGAACAGCTTATATTGTTATAATGTCGTACTATTGCTTTTTATGTATAGTGCATATTGTTAAAGAAGCACCATTTGTATTTGTACCATATGTAAACACTTCGAAACTCAGTTTTTACCCCAAACGCTTTTGGGAACGGAGCATTAAATCCACGTTCTCTCCAGCGGCTCGTGCTTGATTTCACTCTCCCCCGAGTGGGAGCACTGCGTTGTTCCTCGGATCACCGACAAAAAATATGTTTACCCCCAGTGAGGAAAATCCAGTGAGACCTGGAGCGTGTTGGGCTTAATGAGGTGGATGTGCAAGTAATGGGAACAGGGAGACCCGGTGGAGTAAATGCACCGTTCCTTTTCTTCCCACGCATGACAGACCTCAGTCAGCTGTGCCTCATATTCTCATGGCTGGCTCAGTTTTCCAAACAGGCTCGTCCTCAGCTTGAATAGACTCCTTTGAGGTTAACGCTCGCTGGAGGCTGGATAAGCAGCTTTGTTGGACTTTTTTTTTTTTTTTTTTACATCTTTAATAGATGATTTGATAAAACCTCAGGGAAGCGTCCTTGACGTCGACTCCGCCGACGAAGCTGACGAGTGGCTTGTTTTTAGGGGCGGTAAATGTAAGAACCGAAGCCTTCCCGTAGAAAATGGGCCGACTACCAAAATGTCTTTGGGAGACCGTCTCTTCCCTGACACTTTTCCAAGGAAATGGCCCATTATTACAATGACTCAACGTCTCGATGCTGTGCAGCACACTAGAGGGGGCGATGGCAGGATTTAGCCTGCCGGATTAGATGTGTGGTGGGTGACACGTGCCGACTTGGCCCCACAATATTTGACTTGACTGAATTGTGTTAGGTCGTAATAAACTGCTAATGTAGTTCAGACTTTAACAAACAATTTCCTGTGTTTTGATAATGACAATGTACAACGTGCGATTGTGAAAATAATTGCCCTACGTTAAAGCGGTCACTGGTTGTGTTAAACCATCTGAATACGCAGCTCGTCTTGGTTTTATGGAGCTTTATAAAGATCAGGGTCCAGGGAAGAGTCTCCTTAAGTCATCATTGTGTTTTATGACACTTAAACTCCAGTAATCCATTATCTTATTGGCATTAACATGATTATCTTAGATTACGTATTCAGTATGAAATATATATTAGTGAAAAATATCCTTTCCTTCACAGGAAGTTAAAACTATTTACTACGATTCAGGAAAAGAACTTCATTGAAGTTTGCTTGACTGACTGAGGACTCGCTGACTGACTGACGAGTCACGAACATCTCATGTGACTGTGGCTCAGCGGTTCGATCCCCGCCTCTGCTAGTCCCTGTCGATGTGTCTTTGGGCAAGACACTTAACCCAAATTGCTGCAGAGGACTAGAAATGTGCAAATAAAGAACAAGTCCATGACTCCTCTATGAGTCATGTGACCAACAACCTACCGGACAGAATGTCAACGTTTACTTGTATTGTGCATGGGACAGCGATGTCCTGAACAATAGTCCTATGTTTGTTTGACTCCTTGTGTGGACTATCTCACACTTGGTATTACGCTCAGAGTGTGTTTGTTGAAGTATTGTGCGTCACTTACGCGCACTAAACAGTGCCCCTGTGCTTCGGTGTCAGACCCCGAGGAGCACTGACCAACCTGAGGCATCCATGCATGTGGGGAAGGGTTGAAGGCTGCAGGTAGAACCCAGAAGGAATCTTCTAGTAAACAATTAAAACAGTTGTCAATCACTTTCTACCTGCAGTCGAACTGTGCTGATGATTCTTTGCTTCGATCCAAGCAGGTCGTGCCAGTAGCGATACCGACGTACGCCGGCTGCCATCGCTGTAAAAGTTTCAAACAACATGTGACGGAGCTCCAGCTGGTCACAGATCAGCTACGGTACCTCTGGGTCGCCATGTCCTCCACCCTCCCACTCAACCACACCGTCGGGCCCAGCGGGGAACGAGCAGATGAGCCGAGTCAATGCAGCGCTTTCTTTTTCCCCAACAATGGCTCTTCAGTGACAGCCAAGCTCAATTCCCCTCAGTCTGAGTCATATATTGGCTCGAACTGACACCACATTCACCACGAATCCCCGTGATGATAAAGCTCTCTTTATCGCATCGCTTTTCATGGCCAGCGTCTCGTTTAATTCACTACCTAGGAGTGGAGCTGCCAAGCTCTACGGTTCATATAATCCAGCACAGTAAAAACCCTCCGTGAGTATAATACTACCTTTTTATCAGACTTCTTCGGCGAGTGTTAAGTACAAAAGCTCACCGTGTGCCCCCCGAGGGCTGCACCAGACAGCGGTTAGAGAAGTTTCTCTCACTGAAAGGACCACGACTAGATGAAGATAAACGTTCCTCCAGCTATCGGCCTCTCCTTTCTCCCTCACTACAGGAAGTGACACATCCGTCTCTCGTGGTTTTATCTCCCCGCTCATCTCTCTCGTCGCAGCTGTAACAAATAAATCGGATTGAACCCGGCTTTTGTGCACCGAGAAGTTGCCCCCCCCCCCCCACCCCCTCGCCGAATAGAGCCCCACACCCTCACGCCGCACACGCATGCAAGTATGACATCATCTGCCTCTGTGTCAGAGTTTGGCTATAAATAGGGATGGCCGACGATGACGTTTTCAGCCCAACAAAGCCCCCCACCCCTCCCCCATGAGTGACATAAGGAGGAAAAAGGGGGCAAGTCTCTGCTGCTGCTCATCATGATGAGCAGCCGGCCAGCCGTGAACGATTTCGCCGCATGTTCATTAAGAGAAAACACCTGATGTTACAAGCAGATGCCATAATTAAAGCACTGGCTGATCAAAAGAGCGTTTGTGTGTCATTATACTAGAAGGAATACCTTGTTCTGTCTGACGGCAGAGAGGTTTTGCATGAATTGCATGAATTTGAGATTTTTCCCACCTATTCTTTCTACTCCAACTTTGACACTAAAGCCTCTCGTAGCATTTGCATTTTAGAAGATAGTTCACTGAGTATTTTAACTTGAGCTTTCAGCTTTGCCCCATTCATTTCAATTACTCACTTACTGGACCCCCTTCAGTTATTCCGAGCTAAGCTCAAGGAGATTTCACAATCCTGGAGATGATGTAATGCAAGGAGAGAAGATTATGGAAATA